TAGCTTTCTCGCACATGTACAAATATAATTTATAGTTTCGACAGCGGTCAACCGTGATGTATTAAATGTTAAAGTTTCGAGCGATGCTGATAAGAGAATATTAAAGGTGTTTAAAGCCATCACTTCACAGAGAGCAAGTCCTGTTCATAAGACATAAGCATTTATAGCAATTCTCTCCTGGCACAAAATTATTAGCTACAAAATCATGAAGAAAAAATCTATTTGTCGTCGATGAATTTATGAAAACGAACACGCTCGTGAGTTGTGAAAGAGGCGCTGCTAACAGACAGCAATCCAACGAAGACACCACAGTCAATATCTCTAGAGCTTCGTGAACCAAGTTCGTAAATAACTTTAATGTTCAACCGTAAATCGTGGCCTTTAAGTTCTTTTGAATGCAAAACTCAAAGAAACGCCTCTCAATAATACATCCGCCGTGTTTGTATCAATTTTAGCATAAATTAGCATATTTTTTTCATTTTGAACCAATCAGATTTCTCGTCCTCTGAGAGAACGAGTAAATACGGCAAAGCATGGGGTTTCGTGCAGGGTCTACTTTCTCTGAGAGCCGTTACGCAGGCTAGAGGGACTTTTTTCACATGAGTCCGTAGCGAGAAGCGAACCTACGATCTCAGATGTGAAGGGCGCGTGCTCTGATGACGCCCACAGTATCTACCACAAATATGTATACTGTATGCATGCAGTACTTGTGGATATTCTTGTTTTTGCTGATACTTTTGCCTGTTATGGTTATTAGACTAATTTATGCATGAAAATGACTGTACTGAACCCTGCTTCAAAAATGTAAAATGTTCTATTCTTGATATTGTGTGAACAATCACGTTGAAATATTTCAGACAACGAGAAGTGAATATGATCAACCGAATTATTCAGTAAGAAGAAGATATCAAGATTTCCTTTGGTTACGCCAGAGACTAGAAGAAACTTATCCAACTCATGTTATCCCTGTAAGTTGCCTGTACTAAGTAATTCTTTGTTGATAATAACGTATGTAAAAACATTTGTGATCAATAATGACATTCTATCTCCTTTCGATATCGCTTTATTTATATTTCCAATTAACCATGTAACCTTCATTTTTATTGGTTCAGCCATTACCAGAAAAGAATTCGTTTACGAAGCATTTCGATCGGTTCTCAGAAGAATTTTTGAAAATCCGTCAAGATGCATTGAATAGATTTGTATCAAGAGTATCATCACATCCTGTGCTTTCTTTCAGCGAACATTTTCACATTTTTTTGACTGCAAAAACATGGGTAAGTCCAATCCACCTTCCATGTAGTTTAAAAACTATACAGTGAAATTAGTAGCTAGAGAAAGTAAGAGAAACGAAATTTACAAGATTTGGAATGCGTGAACCCTTTATTTCTACCATTAAAGCATGATGATTCGCTTTTGTGTACCACGCCTCTAGACAACGATCTGGCAAAATGAACAATATAACACCACCATGCAACAATCATTCGTCGGGTTTTCTGGAGTAAACATCACAACACGTGGTTAAAAAGTGGAGAATTATTTAACTTAATATCTGTTGTGGTAAATTTATTTTCTTTAGGAACTAATGACGGCAAAGAAACAAGCACCTGGTATTATGAGTAGGATGGGAGACTCGGTCAAACACTCCGCTTCTTCTATGATGCTGAAAACAAGAGAGAAAGAATTTACTGACATTGCAGAATTTGCAAAGACGTTTAATGAGAAAATAAGTGCAGTAGAGAAGGTGACGGATAAGCTAGCACGAGAGAGATTTGGTATGTTTAACCTTGTACATGTATTTCGCGTGAGCTTCGTGGTTTCAACATGCAGAGAACTACTTTTGTTAAATTGGATTTATTGAAAATCAGCCACGACAATACGATTGCCCAAACCCACAATTACCTATAGTTGCATTTTTTGCAGCTGCTCCTTGAAATTTCCATTCCTACAAAAACCCTTCAACCTAATGTAAATTGTGAAAGACCTTACAATGCGTAACTCGAAGTTTCAATCACCAAAACAAGACCCTACAGCCGAAGTAACGTACAGGCATACACAACGAGATCTGGGACAAACAATAGTTGACGTGTCTCTTTTCGCAATTTGATGAGAGGACTGGGAACGGATGTTAAAAAGTGCCCAAATTAAGAAATGAACCAAATCGCTAAAAAGACCACCTCAAAATTAGTAAGTATACAAAGTTTGAAGACATTTACATGAATACCCTTCGAATAGTAAGCTTTTGAAAATCGCGATATTTACTATGAAATGTACTGTAATTTTTGTTTTGGGGGACGCGCGTCCCAAAAACAATCTTTTAATAAGTAATTTCTCGATTTTCAAAAGCTTATTATTCGAAGGGTATTCGTGTAAACGTCTTCAAACTTTGTATACTTACTAATTTTGAGGTGGTCTTTTTAGTGATTTGGTTCATTTCTTAATTTCGGCACTTTTTAACACTCGTCCTCAGTCCACTCATCAACTTCGGAATGGCTAATTGAAAACCACGCATTATCGACAAATATCCAGGCCTAATTGGCAATTCCAGCTTTTAGTTTATGCGTGCAGGGGACGATGGGAAGTAAGGTATCACATTGCTGATTATGCTGAAAAAATAAAAATGGTGGCCGTGTAAACACGGAGTGATAGCTTATACTTGTAAATATTGAAATATTTCGGTTGCTTCGGTAGTTTTTATTGAAATTTTTCAGCATAATCAGCAATATGATACCTTACTTCCCATCATCCCCTGCAGGCATAAACTAAAAGCTGGAATTGCCTATTACCCGTGTGTTTTACTGTTTGTAGATCTTCTAGAGGGATATAAAGATTGTATACCAGTGTTTAGATTGTGGTCAAACTCAGAAATTAAATTAGGAGATCCCTTAAACGAGATAGCAGATGCTATGGAGAAAACCAACGACGCGTTAAAGGATCTGGTAATGTATTAAATACTTCACGATAGATGCATTTCGGGCATTCGGCATACCAGACCGACGGAGCTTGTCTAAATTTCTTCACATTTGAGATTCGTTTGCAATATACAGTATGATATACATAGTTTTATTCTCAACAGAACATTTGGAATATGTCAAAAGTTGTGTCTGAAAATTCAGGAAATCAATACGAACTTTTCCTGAGGGTGGACAGATCAATATACATACAGTAACATTCGCCCATTCACGCCATTGCACTGACGGTTTCTTTTTCAGTTGAAGCAACAGGATGCTGGTATTATGGAACCTCTTAAAGAATACATTTTGTACATTGATGCCATTAAGGTAAAACCTATACTTATATATATTTTCTCTTTACATACTGTATATGTAATAATTTTCAGTACTGTAACTTTGAGATTAAACGCTGTTAAATTAAGTAAATTGTTGCAAAATAAAATGGTTTACGATTAATAATTCATGCACTTATATCAGTCTGTAACTGTAATCTTGAGCAACTAAACCTCAGCGTCTAAACAACAGTGTACAACAATACGAAAATAACCTTCTACAATTTGATATTTTGTTTATCCGCTTTGTTTTGGAAACAGTGTCGCCTAAAACATTTCTGTATCACCTTGTTTTTTCACCTTGTTTTTTTACCTTGTTTTTTTATATTTTATTTTTTAGTTGAAACTGATGGAAGTCTTTCACATTTAATTTTTGAAATTAACCATTTTTTATTTTCTATAGGGAGCTTTGAAACGGCGTGATGCGAAACAGGTGGAGTATGAAGTGACTGTGGATGAACTAAAACGAAAGAAAAAGGAAAGAGAAGAGGTATTATATAACAAACGCCTTATACTGAGCTTAAACGTAACTGCAAAAGATTAAAATAAAACAAACAAGCACGCAAGAATTTCTAAGCCTTCGATACCATGCCAGGAATGAGATAATGTTCCTGAAACTAATTTAAGAAAGGGTTGAAGCATGCATTGTTTGAAACCATATTGTAGTATGTTAGTGTGTTACTTGAAACCTGAACGGAATACTGTACATAACTGAAAACACGATAAACTTTTAAAACCATACATGGAATCCTCCATGCTCCTTTGGTCGTGACCGGATACTGTCAATTGCATTCCACCACTTTTTTGTACTACATGACAATGAGTTGTGAAGACAGACTAATCCAGTGAATGCAATCAACATCAGTCCATATGGATACAGAAGAGGAAGGTACAGCAGAAGTGTAACTTGAGGCGGTTCCTTTATTGTTTTACGTCCACGAAAATTTTAACTCGCTCACGCCATCCTGGCTAGTACAACCGGAAGTTTTTATCAGGTTTTGGTAGGTACAAAGTGCCGGTTGTACTAGCCAGGATGGCGTGATTAATGACGAATTGCTTGTAAAAACGCGGACAAATACTTGCTTGAGTTACACTTCTGCTGTACCTTCCTATTCTATGATATATAGATGTCTGAGAAAATGCAGTGTTTGAAACTTAGTAACTTATAAACCGTCATCCTTATTTGTCTTTTAACCCTCGCTGTGTAATTTCCTATCTTGCAGTTGGAGCAATCAACACAGTCCCGATCATTTGGTGTTTTAATTGGAAGTCGAGATCCTGAAGAAGTGAAGAAAGAAAAGATTGATAAATTGAATGCAACGATTGAGGATGTAAGATATATTTCGATGTTTAAAGCCCCGTTTACACTATACGCTCGATTTTTGGTACCGTACCACTTTTTTGGTCCTTCCATGAACAAAAAAAGTGGTACGGGTACCAATTTTATCCGTGCCGTACCAAAAATTGAGCGTAGTGTAAACGGCGCTTTATACGATAATTTTAATTAGTCACTAGTGGCCGTTTATCATTAAGACGAATTATCCGTTTGAACGAACCGGGACGAACAATTTCACACCACGTTTGCACAATTAGTCATTCGTCTATATTATTCAAAATTGAGTCCTCCCATACTACGCCTTGAAGGACTGTTTTTGACAAAATACAGTAAAAATGGGTATGGATGATGGTGGGAAGGTCCCCAGTTTAGTCAAGGCCTACTGCCCTACTGGTACAGTACATGTATATGGCAATTTCGAGTAATGAACTGATCACTTCATTCACTTGTTTGCACTTACAGTATCACACCGAGTTATTTAGTGAAACGAAATTCCTATATACTGTAGTTGTTTCAAGGATGTTCGAAGTTCGCTGGCAACCTTTTTCTGCCTGCCACTTGACACAATGAGCTGTCCGTATGGACTAGCCCAACACAAGATCCGCTCGCTCTTATTTAGTTATTCACCTTAGTTCTGTATAACTTCAACAGTATTGATCTTTACTTTTGTAGCTTGAACAGAGTGTTGAAGCTGCGAATGACCGGGCGGAATGTGCAAATCATGATTTAAAAGCTGACATCGAAAGATGGCATAAAAATAAAAGACAAGATTTCAAAAACTTATTTGCGAATTATTCAGAATGTCTTATTGAGTATTACAAACAGGTAGGAATATACACGTCAATAGGTCATGTTTTTAACGTGTATTAATATTAGCATGAATTAATTGTCCGCGGATATTGGAACCCTCGATTTGAAGGAACTGAGTTTACAGTTAACACATAATTACACCAGAAGTCTCGCTTGAGTCGGAACCTTTGATGTTTTCGTCCGTAAAAAATTAACTTGCTCATGCCGTTTCTGGCTAGTATACAACCGGGCGTTTTTATCAGGTTTTGGTAGGTACAAAGTGCCGGTCGTACTAGCCAAGATGGCGTGAATTGATGAGGAATCGCTTGTAAAAACGCGGGAAAATATTTGCTTGAGTGAGAATTCTGGTGTAATTATCTATTC